AAGTGGGCCTTCTAAAAGTAGGCTCCCATGCACCCATTTCCCTTTAAAGTTCCTATATGTAACCAGCAGATGTCAGTGTAGACTGCCCTTGTCCTCTTTCAGCCACTGTAGCTCTCTTCCCTGTGGACACACCCCCATGTAGCTCTGAGTGGCTACCCATTCAATGTTGGGTTGCACCATTTCCTATAAAATGCTTCCCTAAGCCATGTCAGGTAGGAGTTTGGCTTTACTGCATCCCTCTGGGTTTGTGCTGTGTCCTGCAGGAAGGTATGTGCTGTTGTCTGGTTTACCTTTTGTTTCGACAATATCACAAGTAGCTTAAAGCTAATATTAGGTTGTTTGGAAAATAGGTGGCCAGTGGTGTATCTATCCTGTCCGGGTGACGTGTGGCTGAGCCACCAAGGGTAGTACTGCTGTAAGCTTGCTTTGCATGCAGAGAGTAGGTAAAGAGGGTGCATTTTAATATCTGCGCTTTAACCGAGGTTTGGGTCTGGAGGACTCGTGAGCACCCGTGCTACGGTGGGAATCTGGCACTGTGCCAGTAGTAAAACAACGCTGTTCTGGGGAGCCGGAGCACGAGGCGTCAGAAGCTAGTACTTGGGCCAAGGAATCTAGATGCACGGAGGTAACTCAGCAGTGTGTTTGGGTGTACTGTCCTGAGCTGCAATTAGACCAGTTAGCTGCATTTATGTTCCTTATATCTAATGGTGTGTTTTGGATATGTACCTGATTACTGTGATGCTGTGAGCTACTGTAATGAGTCAATTCAGTCATGTTGGAGATTATATTATATCTGTCTAACACTTGTTTGTTTTCCTAGACAGATTTGCTGCTGCTGCTTTGCCTGACATATTTTATTAGATACTACATTTTAGTCCTGTGCCCTGTAGGGGTAATGACTGTGGGTTTGTTATGGTAGTATTTTTTCCTTTTATATTCTTTGTTTTGTTTTCTTTTTTAAACTTCTAGTCACCATTTACCTGTCCTTTGGGAAAAGGTATTGGCTGCCACTATCTGACAGTAGGGTTTTATTCAATTGGACTGTTAAAGTAAGTTAATTCCTCTACGGTCAGAAATCTATCTTTGTTTTTCTTCGCAATTGTATCCGCTGGGCCTCAGGGCAGGTCATGTGATCTGGGTCCCCACGCAAGGCGCATGCGACTTGTAGTGGTAATGAGCACTTCACCGTTTAGTGTGTGTGTGTGTGTGTGTGTGTGTGGCCACCAGTATCAAGAGCACATTGGTGGGGGTTGGATTTACTCTTCCAGGACAGGTCACTTGCCCCTTGTCGTTTATTCCAGTCGGCTATTGTTAGTAGTTAATGCCAGCCGTATTTCCCGGGGTGGCAGCTATTACTTTCCGGTGTGACATTTGAAGGTAGTTTTATGGTGACTAGTCGATTAAGATGCTGTTGTGTAGTTTCTGATTAGCACATTTTATGGTTGTGGGCTTTTTTTTATCTGAACTGCCTTGTCAAACTTTTTATTTTGTATAACCCTGGAACTTCATGTCTCTGTGTTGACCAAATTACCTGAGTGGGGGAGTTCTCTGGTCTCTGGTGCTACATTGGGTGTTAGAGTTTACAGTAGCATAGAATATCGTGTGGTGTAAGGCCACATATAGCAGGGCCGGGGGGCCCCTGAAAGCAC